CTCCCATTTAAAATAACCTATGAAAAAATCACCTACTTGGGCATTACAATACCAAAAAAACACAGCTCCCTAATGAAAGAGAATTTTCTTCCCTTACTGGAGAAACTTAAAAATAACATTCAGTACTGGAGGACACTTCCTATTTCTTTAATAGGGAGAGTGAATTCAATAAGAATGGTATTCCTCCCGCAGTATTTGTATCTGGTTCAAAACATCCCAATTTTCTTGCCCAAATCTTTTTTTAAAAAGATGGACGCCATCATTATGCCATTTATATGGAATTATAAAACACATAGAATAAAAAAAGACCACCTATGCAAACATAGATCCCTTGGTGGACTTACACTACCTAACTTTATGTACTACTACTGGGCATCAAATTTAAGAATAATTTCCCTTCTATTGGATGACACAGCAATACTCCCTAACGGCTTACAGATGGAGCGGGAGGATTGCCTTCCTTACTGTGTTGGTGGAATACTACTCTCTCCTATTCTTTTGACAAACTCATATTACAATTCGAATCCAGTGATTTATAATACCGTACAAATTTGGAGACAAATAATTAAGCACTTCAAATTGAAAAAACTATCAATGTGTACATCCATTACAGCTAACCCCTCTTTCCTTCCATCATGTGTAGACGGAGCTTTCAATATATGGCAGGAATTGGGAATTTGTAAATTAAAAGATTTATACTTAAATGATACTTTTATGTCATTCCAACATTTAAAAGATAGATTTGGATTGCCTCACAGTCATTTTTTTAGATATCTTCAACTAAGAGACTATATCCGTACATACCTGCCACAATTTGAAAACATATCGTCCGATCCTTTGGACAGATGTCTTAGTGATGGAAGGGGGTTTGAACAGAGAATTTCATTATTTTATAATTCAATACAGGAGATGAGTATACCTTCAACTACTTCAATCAAAGAGGAGTGGGAAAAAGATTTTGGGACTCTCCTATCAGAAGATTTCTGGCAGGAGGCCTTACACAACATAAATACGCCTTTTATTAATTCCCGTCACTGTTTAATTCAGTACAAAATTATACACAGACTACACTATTCAAGGGAAAAACTTCACAAAATGTATCCAGAGTGTTCCCCCCTCTGTGAAAAATGCAAGATACACTATGGAAATCTGTTACATTGTTTTGCACTATGTCCAAGGCTTCAGGGTTTTTGGTATGATATTTTTACTTATATGTCTAATATTTTAAAAGTAAGATTGAACCAAATCCGACAGTAATCATCTTTGGGATTTCCAACGAAACACAAAATTTACAACACTTTCAAAAAAGGTTTATGGCATATGCTTTGATTATTGCAAAGAAATTGATCCTGCAGCTTTGGAAAGGCAATGAGACTCCTGTATTAAAAATGTGGCTTACTGAACTTATAAACACTCTTCACCTTGAAAAAATAAGATATAGTATGAACTGACAATGTAAAAGATTTTGAATTAATCTGGCACCCTTTACTTATATACCTTGGGAAAATATAAAACTTTGTTTACTTGTTTCTCTTCCCTTTTGCCGACAGCCGGGGTATTGGGACCCCTTATGGGTGACTGCGGGTTTTTGTTTTTTGTTTTTTTTTTTGTTGTTGGTGTTGTTTAATTATTTGCCTTGTTAGTTTAGAGGAAAAAAAGGAGCATAAGCTATGTTATGTCAATTTGTAAAAACTACAATCACGATACTTGCTCTCAATAAAAATATTTGAAACAACGAAAATGTCTGATTTGTGACCTTGACTTTCATCATTTTTAATAATATAGCTATACAAGCGTACTGGTTTGTGTGCATGTGTGTCTGTGTACGTTGTTTTAACAAGTATCACATGGATTAGGGGCTCCACTGATCAGGAGGGAGTTATGTTGAGTTCATCATGTTGGGAGGCCTGTCCAGTCTAGCTGAGAGAGATACTGTTTGCGAAGATAGAAAAATGAGTGTGCTGGTTTGATCCGTTTCAGTACAGAAGGATTCTTGTAGAAAAGTATTTGTGCTTGCATCTTAACGAGGACCTCTTGTATTCATATTTACCTCTATATTTGTATTCTGAGACTTCCCAGTTTAAGAAAAAAAAAATTTCTGCTAAACCGAACCCTCATAGAGGCTTTCAGCTCATTCTGCCTGAAACAATCACTTTCAGCTCTTTCACATTTCCTTCTGATTACCCGTCCCTTGTCTGGCTTCCACAAAGTGAACCACAAAGTCTTTGTGAACTCTACTTCCTCTTTTTGGGAGTATGCAAAGTCACAAAAACAAACCTGCCGAGGGACATAATTTCTTATTGTTTATGTTGTGGCTGACTTGTGGGGAATGTCATAAAATGCCAGTTGAGAGGGGAAAATATCTGTTGTCAGGAAATCCCAAAGTTACAGAAACCACAGAAATATTACCTGCAGCCGCCAAGTGAATGTGTAATGACTGTCAGCACTGGAGGCTGTTTGTATGCTGGAGTACTTGAAAGAAGTGCCAGTAATACTAATCATTTAGACTGTTTTAAGAGAATGTGTTCGTACATTTACTGAGACGTTTATATTGGACTGTTGTTTGCACGTTGAGGCTTGATAGTTTGCCGTGAGCGACTGCAAACGCATTACTTCTGGGTTGACCTTGCTAAATAGAAAAGCTGTGTTGTGGAGCCTGTCTAGTGTAGCTGTAGTGTTATGCTATTTAGCCTTATATGACCAACAACTTGTTTTACAGACTTGTCATGTGTACTGTAGGGTTTGCTGTTACATTGAAACTCATCATCTCCCTGTCACCATCATTGTAATACCTCTGCTGCCATGGTGGGGGTTCTTTGATACTGAGTTACTCTTAGTCACCTGTTTTCCTCAAATGGAAAAAAATGAACATGTTCATCACTTGGATGTACAGTTAAGTAGAAAAATAAGTAAGTCCCATTAAGATTATTGGCTTTTTCCACATTTCAGCTGGTTGGCATGTTTATGTCTTTGAAACATTGCTTACAGTTGAAAATGAGATCAGACCATAACTATGACCTGCTTATTCAGCAAGTGCTGTGTTTTTTATTTGTATTTTTCCTTTTTAAGGTGTGGGATGCCATCAGACCAAGAGCTTTAGGGAAAAAAAAATCTGGATTTGTTTTAGTCTGATGAGGATTTAAATAGGATCTCCAAATAGTTTGAAAGTGGAAAACGTGTCACTACTGCTGGTGCAGATTTCAACTGTTTTCCTATCTGCCCAACCAAACAGCAGACCAACCAAAAAACATCACCACAGTGTCTGCAGGTAGCTCAAAGCGCGTTCATCTACAGTGAGAACGAGAGGGCAAACATTCACATGGGAGGCTTTCCCACAAACCAGCCTTTGACTTTAAGAAGGCAGAATTTGAGTTTCCTTGTGAACATGCAGGAAACGGATCAGGCCTGTGGATTAAAAGGCGCAGAAGAACAGCATTGCAGAAGAACCTCGTATCTTACAGTAAGGTGCAAAATGTTGATTTGCTTTGCTGCCTCAGAAACTGAGCAACTCGATGAGTTCGATCTAATATCAAAGACTTTTTCTTTTTTTTTCAATAAGAGTTTCCTTGCTGTGTTTAACTTTATCCACAGGTACTGATTTAAAGAGACTCGAATGTTGAGTTGTGCAAAATATGTAGGAGGAAAAAATGTCAACTTTTTTTTTTGACTCTAGTTAATCGTGGAATTTGTCCCCTAGTGTTTCAATACTTTCAGGAGAGCACCGCTCCTTCTCTCTAAATGTAAGGCATTTCCTGGAGAGGACCAAGCAGACATGCACGTCTGGCTTTCTGCACAGAAGAATGGTGGCTGCACAGGCCTGAAGGGAGCTCGTGATTTATGTACATAGTTTTTAAATTCTCCCTGTGAACATTTCTGTACTAATGTGCTAATTTTCCCTGCAGCGATACCTTTGCAGAGCTTAAATCTTTACCACTTCAATTTTAATGCTGCTCGATACCGGTGCTGCAGCACATCTTTCCAAAGTTATCGAGTAATTTTAGGGCAATTTTACATCCGTAGTTGAGTCTGCTGGGATTACTTATTATACATCAGGGAAGAAATAAAAAATCGTAAATCTACTGAAGCGTTTTGGGCTTTCCCCAAAGGAAAATCATCAGGGTAGTAATTGAAATATATTTGAATGCATTTCTTTAAAGAGGGGTTTGGTATAACCCTTTCTGTTTTCCCTGTGATTGCCTGGATAGCCCCCCCCCCCCCCCCCCCCCCCGCACATTTGCTTAAATATAAAATACATTTTTGATTATTAAATGTCCAGACCTAACAGGAAAGCCTTCGTCTGACACGTCTGTTAACTAAAGGTAAATTACTAGGTGGGTAACTGAGCTGATAACCCCCAGACCTCAGTTTCAAACCAGTAAAAACTCAGTATATGATCTTGCTTTGAGTCGGCTTCACTCTGTTTAAACTAGCCGATGTTTGTTTTGTACCTCCTTCCACAATGCTCTCGAGCTCTTTCAGGGATTCTGTCTGTTCACCGTCATAAAACTTGTGCTGCTTTTCCTTTTCAACGCAACCTTGAAAGCTTCAGTGTCTAATATGTTGCCATCTACGCTGCTTTTTGCACATTTGATTGAAATGTGACAAGGATTGCACTTATGTTTTCCTCTCTTTGTGCAGCCTAAATACCTGCTTTATGTCACAGCTCTGTGCCGTGTCGTAATGCAAAAGAAAAAGTCTGCTTTCAGGCGAGGAAAAGCTCGATTAAAAGAGTTTGTTTTCATGTGATGAAGGTCTTGCATTACAGGAGCTTTCTAGTTCAGAGAATGCCATTGTGGCAAGCAGTTTGTGTGAGTACACAATCTAGCACTTGTTCCCTCTACCACTTCGCGTAGCCTCTGGCACCCTCTCTTCTCCTTTCTAGCTGACTAGCATTACCGCTGCTTCAAGCTGGACTGTCCACCCTGGATTAGAGCTTTGCTGTAATCTGGGACACTGCAGATTATGCTTTTCATCTATCGCATGACCGGCCCACACAAATGGGGTCGCTCTCATGTCCTCCTCGATTGACAGGCTGGGAAGCGAGGGAGGGCGGGAACTGGCGGCGGAACCCGAGAGTATTGGAACAGGAGTACCGTGCGGTATCGCAACAGCAGCTAGGCACACAAAAATGACAGCGATGGCGCTCACGGTCTGCGGGATGGACTAAGAACTGACCTTTGGGATTATAGTGGAGAGGAAGTGGGAGGGTGTGTTTTTTGTGTGTCTGTGTGTGTGAGCCGGCTACAACAGCTGCTTGAGGGGACAGGTAACTTATTAACAGCAAGACAGGAGCAAAGGGCTCACTACACCTTGGCCCAAAACAGAAACCGATATTTAGAAATTGGCATCACTGTAGTCACTCTCACCTTGTGACTACCTGAGGGCCGATACAAAACCTCCTTCCTTGTGCGTGCACACACTTGGACACTCGAGTGTGTCTCCGTATGTCTAGTAAAGAAGGAAACGGACACAAGCAGCACGCGCCTGGGTCACATGCAAACAATCAGCAATAAGCACTCGGCTGGCTCTGCTTAGGTAGTGCTGGTAAAAAGGAGGTGGTAGTCGCTCCGGCCGGCAACACGCTGAGAGCTGTAAAGAATAAAGCATGGACCCTCTGGAGGAATACCGCTCTCCGTTTGACTTTGAACAAGGAGTCAACACCAGCTATCTCTACCTCTCCCCAGCCTTAAGCGACACACCGCCCAGCTCGCCAGCTGTCAAAACCAGAGGTAATCACAAGGAGAGAAGGGAGAGGCCGAGTGAAGGGTCTGTGTTTTTCGCGTGTGTGTGTGTGTGTGTGTGTGCGCTTGCTGGATAAAAAGACAAAACATGGGTTTGGTTCATTGAACAGGAAGAATTTGGGGTGGGGGCACAAACTGGAGGGGGAGGGAACAAATGATGATTGTCGGCGATGCGTATGACAGCATTCTCTCAATTTAGATGTTTCTAGATCTCAGACAGTGTTGATTTCAGACCATCATAACTCTTTAAACTTCAGTCATAATTATGCTGCTGTACCACACGGCGCGCCGCGTTTTCCTTCTTTTTCCTAGAAATGTAGAAAATAAGGATGCAATGACTGTAAAACTGTCCGTTTTTCTGTTTTGGGGAAAAAGAGAAGTATTTGCTGCAGTAGTTTAAAGTTTTTCAGCTCTTTATCACGCTGTCTTTGAACATTTATCCAATTGAGTTAGATATAAACAGAAAAAGACAGAACAAGACGTACACAGTTTGTACCATAAGTTAATGGGTGACATTTTTGCAACGTCCAGTACAGACTGTCCATATCGAGTTATGCTTTGATTTTGTCTCATTTTTACAATTAAGCCTTTCCAACGAGTTCTCACAGGCAGCAGTGTTCATCATCTGTTCCCCAACCATCATTCCTCCCATTACAGACTCATTCAGCTGCGGTAGGAACCTCCTGTTGTCATGGTACCTGGGTCTGTGAGCCAGGATTTCAAGTTTTGTGTGAATTCATTATTCTTTCCTTTGCGTCATGAAGATGATTAAGAGTTTTAGTTTTGTACGGTTTAGTCTTGAGTTTGGTTCTTTCTAGAGTCTCTGAGTCTGATATTAGTTTCCTTTCATGTCTCGTCCCTGTGTTCTGTCCTCGGTGTCTCCTGTGGATGTCAGTCTTGTTGTCATGTCCCGTTGGTCATAGTCTGCGTCTCTATGTTCTGTCTCCTGTACCTGTTTCCACGTTCTTTGTCTCCCCACTCTGCCACGTGCTTCCGTGTCCGTTTACCTCCTGTCCTACTGTCAAGCTTTCATGTCCTCGTCTGGGTCGCCATGTGTATGTCACTTCCTGTTTTATTTTGACGGTGCCTCGTCTCATGTGTGTTATGCTCAGTTTTGCTTCTCCTGTTCTGTTACTCAGATTAGTTCCAGCTGTGTTTCCACCTGTTGTCACCTGTTGTTGTGAATTCAATTCCTCATCTTCCTCTGTTCCTTGCCACGACCCTGGCTGTGTGCGCGCTCCATGTGTCTTAGTGTTCCCAGGTCCTCGTAGTTTCTGTTCATGCTGAGGTTTTTATGCCTCATGTTCTTTAACGCTAGCACTGTTGAAAGTTGCAAATAACACAGAATGGGTTTAGTGCCTCGACGCAGCTGGATGCTTCTTTTAATACAAGCTCTAATTCTAAGTATTTCCTTAAGAGGAGAGTTTTGATTGTAGGTATCCGGATCGCTGACTGTCACATTTCCTGTTGTGTTCGCTTGCGTGTTTGTTTACATAATAAGGTGGCCAATATTTTAGGCACCACAATGTCAGAGAAAATCACACGTATCAGTCAAGTTGCCGCTTTTATATTAAATGTCATCATTTTACCCTGCTGAGCATTTATGCTAAATTCCCTTCTAATTGGTTATGGTTGACAGTGTGCTCGATGACCTTTAACCTTTGACTACCAGTATTAATTCACTCTTGAGTCCAATTAAATCTCTGTGCAAATTTGATGAAATTTCCATGAGGCGTTTGAGGTAGGTCGTATTTATGAGAATAAGTTTGACAGAGAGAGAGAGATGGAAAATCTTAAAAGATGTTCCTCGTCATGTTGGGAGCTGTTTGTGTGCAGACACACACACAAAAGTGTGTAAGGATTGAGGTTGATATAACTCAAATGAGACAATAGAGCCCATTAAGGTGAACAAATAGCTTCCTATGCACACTGTCATTCTTATCTTATTCTTTCGTAACATTCTGGTTGTGTAATACAACTTTATTGATTTCCATGTTTATTGGTGTGTCGTCTGGCCCTTTATGAAAGCTGCATTAGCGTGGTTACCGCTATCCGATGACTAGGCGACCTCGCTGCTTATCGCTTATCACAGGAAAAGAGGGACAATCAAAAAGCTCGTGGTCTCTATTTAAGTGCACGTCTTCGTCGTTGCTACAGTACTGACAGACACACAGTTGGGTGCTCATAGGGCAGGATTGTTAAGAGGAAATGAACTCAAACCATAGAGGTTGGGCAGGGATGTGGGTGAGTATGCAGTTTGATGTCGCAAGCCAAACTTCTGCCTACACTCGCATATAAACTTCTCTATTTGTTTCTCTCTCTGACTCTCCCTTTGTTACTTTTTTTTTCCCTCTCATGCTCTTAGCACCTACTGATGGAAACACACCTACAAGACATTTACAGAGGTGCCCAGAATTTTACATAACCCGATGTGCTTGAAGAAAATGAGTTCCTGAGCAACATATTGTAGGTTATCAAAACATTATGTGTACTAAAATTTACAAAAAAAGGGTGGTGTCTTATTTTTTTCTTTATCTGGCTGAAGCACAGCCGTTATAACAGGAAGTGTCTTTTGCAAAATTGTGATGTTGTAGTACGCAGGTTTGTCTGCATATATGGTGTCAGTGCTGTATCACTAGTAGAAAGAAGAGGGGGGTAAATTCAAAAGAGAGTGGAAAAGCGCTTAAGGGCAGATGAAGTGAAACACCCCACAGGAACAGAGGGGGTGGTTTCAGGACTGAGGGCTAAATGAGAATTTCCTCTGTGGTTCTTTTTGCCTGATTACCATAATGCCCATCTCCGTTTCCTCGTCGAAACGATTTGCCTCGGATTCACTTCTCTCGCCAAAGCGTGTTTTGACATATAAATATTTGCACTTGCGAGGTGTCCAATCCGCTCGCCTTGTCCCCTGGCGTTAATTAAATGTAAAAGGAGAAGCAATTAATGGCACAGCTCCCTCAGCTCGTGATAATAATGTGTGTTTTGAAGGCAGAGGAACGTTATTTCATTAACGGCTCTCCAGACGGCGTGAGGCAATCCCGCTGTCTTTGTGGGAGTGTGCACTGCTAGATTTATGTGATTTTTTTTTTCTCCTCTTTTTTTCTGTCTCCGTCTCACGTCTTCACAGTGGTCCGCATTGAAAGAGAGAAAGGGTGTCCTCAGTATTTGGAATGAAGTGGGAGGAGGAGGCTGGAGATAAAGATGTATTTCAAGTACCATTCCTTTTGGCGAGATTGCGCGTTTCACCGCAGCTTCCGTGTGGAAACAAAATATATCACCGGCTAAAATGATGTTGTGCGTTTTGCTGTTTATGCCAAATCCTGACCCCAGCTGGGTGACAGCTTAGTCACTGAGAGGAACATTTCCTATATTCATGCAGTGAACAGGTCAAAATATAATGATTGGCTGCTTACGCGACCACCTTCAAATGCACTTTTTCTTTTTAAATCCTGAATAATAATAAGCAGCTGCAAATACACAGAAGCTGCACCTGATGTCTTCATTTCACTCTTGCACTATTACATATATTTCACTGTTATTACATAATTATTACAACCCCAGTCTGCTGAGAAAATTGCACATGGCCAAATTCTCTTACTCGTTAGGTTGAGCCAACGCTTTAATGAAACTTACACTCTTCTCTGTTTTGTGTGATGGTTCTGCCTCCACGCTGAGGTAACAACACTGTATGTGTAAGAAGTTCACTCCAGCAGTTCCTTTTTCTTGTATTCTTCCCCTCACACTGAGTTATTCAGCTCTGGGGTTTCCCCTTTTTCCTTTATTTTTATTTTTTTCATACTCTCCTATTTTGGGTTTTGCGTCTATACTTTAACTTCCTTGAAATAATTTGACTAGATACCAAAAAAAAAAAAAAAAGACCTCAGGGAGAGATTTTTGTTTCCCCTATTCCAGCTCACTTCTGGCCCAGAACATCCTTATTGGGTGTCGTACTTTTGTTTCACAGATCCCAACAACTCCTCCTCTCACACCGTCTGAGCCGAGGATATCTCCATCTAGAAAGTTTTTTGTATTATTGATGCGCTCTTGTTCCTGCTGAGCACAGCTCTGTCAGAGTCATCAACATCCAAGACAAGCTTGTACTCTATATGCCGTGTGTGTGTGTGAGGGAGATGGTATAGCTGGTCTGCGCAGGAAGAATTGTGGAAAGCTTCACTCCTTAATCTCTGTCACATGTTAAATCACCAGACATGTCTGTTTATCTTTAAAAAGAGATCACTTCATTAAATTTTGCACTTCTTGCTGAGTCAAAAACATTGTTTTCTTTTCTTTCTTTCTTTTCTTTTTTTACCTCCCAGGTTCCCAGGGCCATCCGGACTCGGCCCCAGAGGTGGGAGAGGATGCAGTGACGTCTGTTGGCGCTGCGTCCTCAACAACGCCCGACTTGACAGAGGAAGAGCGTCAGGAGCTGCAGGAGGAGCTGGCTAAGGTCAGGAGGGGTCAAAGATTTAATAGAAGAGATGTTGGTCTGAGCGAGGTAAACATTCACGCTCCCAGTTTGGGATAATCAGTTAACCTGACAGGATGGACTGTGGGAGGAAGCCAGAGTACCCAGAGAGAGCCCATGCATGGGGGAACATGCCATGCTCTTTAACCACTGAGAAGCTAAGTTCAGGCCTTTTCACTTAAAAAACGGTTCACAGCTATTTAAAACAGCTGAATGTTGTTGCTCCAGGACCTCACCTGGTGGCGCGTGTGACCCGTGTACTAACGGCTCGGTCCTCTCTGCAGCTGCCTGGGTTCGATTCAGCCTCAGGGCCTTTGCTGCGGCCTGTCACCCGCCCTCTCTGGCTCCATGCTGTCCTGTCCGCCTCTATCAGATAAAGGCTAAAAGGCTCAAATAATTTTTTTTTTTTTAACGAGTTATTTGGAGAACAGTCATTCTGTTCAGTCGATTTAAAGTATTTTGATCAAACGGCTCATTTGTCGAATGTATTTACTGCGGATTTAATGAGATAATTTGTATTTGTAACAGCAGAACGTTGGTGTTTGTGGGGACTGGCTCCAAATAAATTTGAAATGTCGCCACGGTCATGCGGTTAAACAATGGTGGAGTTTTATGACCTGGAAAAAATGTGTTTTGAATTTGGGTCTTTTTATAATGGCAAATACTGGATGAGCCAGACTTTACATGTTGGGGTACAGATTTATATGTAGAATCAAATATGACGTCTGTGTGCGCGCGTGTGTGTGTGTGTGTGTGTGTGTGTGTGTGTGTGTGTGTGTGTAGGTCGAAGATGAGATCCAGACTCTGTCCCAGGTGCTGGCATCCAAAGACAAGCAGCTGGCTGAAATTAAGAGGAAGCTGGGCATCACTCCTCTTAATGAGCTGAAACAGAACATCACCAAAACCTGGCAGGAGGTCACTACCTCCACTGCGTAAGTACTGAGCTGCGCGCTTTTCACGATGCCTTCATGTCAGCCGGCTGAAAGCGTTTGCTAAAGACTTTTTGTAGTATTTTTGTCCTTTTCCCGTCCTGATCGAGAGCTTTCTTATGCATCAACCCTGCACGTTTTCTCTAATTGCTCTGAAAATACGGATAACTGTCAGCGCTGTGGAGAAAACGCTCTTTTTGCGCTGAACGAGAAAGCTGTCAGTGCTCCTGACAGGCTGCCTGTGGCCTGTTTGAAATGGTTCGATGGGATTCACATTGAAGGAAATGAGCAGCATTCTGATGCTCTCCGGCTTTTCTTTAAAATGAAAAAGACACTGAAGTTTACTTCTGACCTTCACGTGTCTCTTCCGGCTTTGATCCTTCAGTCTCTTTTCATCACACTCATATCCTTTTTCTTTTTTTTTTGGCCGCCCATCACTCCTCTTTCTCTCTCTCTGTTTCAGCTATAGGAGGACTTCTGAAACTCTGTCTCAGGCGAGTCTGAAGGCTACAGCAGCTTTCACAAATATGGGCTCAGCCATCACCCGGAAGCTCGAGGATGTCAGGTGAGTCAGACGGGGAGATGTCAGCGAATCATATTTTGTAATCCTTTGAAAAGCCACAGTAAAAATGGCTCCGCTGTGCTGCACCTGTCCATCATATCACATGTGATAGAAATGTGTTCCTGTAGCGGGCTCTTTTCCTTCTGTCCTTCCTCAGCGTTTAAGAGACCACACTCCTGTCTTTCTTTACTAACCACTAACAAAACTCATTTTAACAAGATTCAGAGTCAGGACATGTTTTTAAGGTGACAACTTTAAAACTGGGGGCAGTGTGAGACTGCTCGCCTGCTTCCGTTCATAACGCACCCGCAGGCCCACATGAAACACATCTTTGTTTAAAGCATAAGCAGTGGCTTCCATATCTCCTGTATATTCATATTCTGCCTTTCTTTGTGTTAAACAAATGAGAAATGTGCGATAATCAGCATAGAAGCAGCAGAAGTGTTAGTAACTTACAGCATTGCTTGGCTTTTGCAGGTCACACTATACGTCTAATAAAGTTAGGTAAGACTGCTCACTTATTTAAGGCCAGTTAAAGGAGAAATAAATCTTATTTTTCTTTTCATACCATCTTTGTGAAATGTGTTTGAATGTGGGACTGCAGAGGTCGTTCTTCTGATCGATTTCAATTTGCATGAATAACTTGGACATTTTCCTGCATGTTTTTTTTTTTTTTAAATCAAATTCTGCAGAATGAACTGAAATCAGCTGTGTTTTTATGCACTGATGTGTTTTATTCAAATCTAATTAGCCTGTTGCACCACTTTGACCAGCTTCTTATTAAAGGGCATATGTCCCGGTGGGTTAGGTGTCAAACTGTGCGTTCAGAGCACCAAACGCAGCACTTCCTGTGAATTATTCCTGATTAAACCCGGCTTTAAAAAAAAAAGAAATCAACAGCAGATTGTTGCATTTGAGATGTATCTCTTGTTGATCTTCCCTCTCGTGTCTTAGTGTGTCTCCCCTCCCCTGTCATCCTTCTTCTCTCTGGATTACTGAGCCGCAAACAAGATTATTAGTCCTCTCAAAGCTGCAGTGTGCTGAGAAGAGCAGCCTCAAAGACTCCGGGCTGGTTGCCATGGGGTGGGGGCTACTGAGGGCCTGACAGGGGTCAGAAGGTGTGTGTGTGTGTGTGCATGTGTTGTCCTTTTGTGTGTGCGTGGGTTTGATGACATGATACTCACCCATAACTCGCAGGATTAACACGTACCCGCTGTGTTAATACACAATCAATCTTAATTGGATAAAGTGGGATTTATAGGATTTATGCACTCGGTAGAATAAACGAGGGTTTGTGCTGTATGTTGTGCTCTCTCGCTCTGTGCACGCTCTGCTGCTGCTGTGCTAACATGACCACTAACACTTCCTTCTTTTCTCCTCAATAATGCTGTCGGATAGCTTAAAGTCATTGCAGCACTCTGCTAGCATGCCCGTCATGAGGTAAGAGAACCCGAACCAGTTCGTGTGAATGTTGGAGGCTGCTCAGTGTCTGTGGGCGGCAGTAGACAGACAGAAGAGCGTGTTTCCTGTTAAATAAAATAAGGCCTGACAGCGTACCCTAATAATACCGAGAGACCGCTGGTGAAAGCCACTTTATCTGCTATCAGTGAAGCTGCAGCTTTAATAATCTCGCTCCGCCAGGCCGCTGCTGTTTCGTCAGGCTCAGAGGTTTAACAGAAATCTAAAAAAAAGAAGAAGAAGAAAATATGAAGATGCAGGGAAACGCCCACCTGCACAAACTGCTCGCCTGGTTTTTGTTTTTCTGCACTTGGAAAGAATGTTCTGCCCTAAATATGGCTCTGCTTTCACAAAACCTGGACACACACACGTAACCAGGTTTTGAAAGAACTTTATTTCTTATTTGGTCTGTAAATATAATCAGAAATTTCTCCCGGTGAATCCGAAAGTTCAGCTCGAGAGCGCACACACACGAGAGGCTTTTCGGAAGACTGTCCTCTCGCCCTCTTCGCTCTGTATTCTCTTTGTGTGTTTGCATGAAAAACAAGCCCTCTTAGCACTTTCTCAGCTGAACAGAGAAGAATGGGGTCACTTTAGAAAATCCCGCATTGTGTGTATCGAGTATCAGATAACATGACCTTTAAAGGCTGTGCTTGCAGTGGGTGTCCTGCTCTATTTTCCTTTTGAAAGGAAGACGTGTCTGCATCTCGTCTGGGTGTGATTATGTTTGATAACTTCAGTCATCTTTTTTTTTTTCTCTCTCTCCTCTCTGTCTTCTGCCTTTTTTTCCTTTCACAGAAACGCACCAACCTTCAGGTCGTTTGAGGAGAAAGTAGAGACTCTGAAGGTAACGGCTGGATAAAGGACCTTGATGCCGTCTGCAGACGTGCCTGTGTGGATGTAGAATGGCTAGGAGTCAGAAACGCACCATTATTCTGCGCACAAACTGTATTCCACTGCATTTTGGTGTCACGCCGCAGTAATGAGGTCGCGTTCAGTTCGTCCTCTCTTTTCAGTGTTCGTGAAAAGAGGAATTCGGCTCTTAAATAACTTTTTAATCAAGATTTAAAGTGAGCCTTTGTGGCTTCTGAGAGCACGCGGTGTCCTTGGTTTCTTAGTTAGATCCATCTGTTGCTCCACGTGTCTGGTTTAAATAATAAAAATAAGATAGTGGATGTCAAAATGCTCAATTCGAGGCCTTAAAAACCAGTAAGTGATGTCAGATGCCCTCCCTGAATCAGTCCTGCCACTTATCCAGGCTTGGGCCCAGCACTAGCGGTACAGGAGCTTTATGAAGCTTTATTCAGTGTCCTTCATATCCTTAGTAGTGGAAGCTGTGACATTATTTGACTCATTCAGGTCACAAAAATGTTGTGCAATATAAGTTCCCAGAGTTATTTAAGGGTCATGTATCACTGTTTTCAGCCTGGTTGCGTGTGACTGAATGTCGATGTATCTCCTACCGCATGGCAGGAGTTTGATGAGACGGTGTGCAGGGTATCTGGTGATGTTAGTGGTCCTGTTTATGTAGCGGGCCTAGAAGATGTCAGTGACTGCAGGTAGCTGGATCCCAATTATCTCATCATCCCAATTAGTGACCCACTGTGCACTGGTCTAAGTTAGTGATGAGAAAAACACATTTCTGTGCTCTGGATGAGTCAGAAAATATCCCACCTTCCACTACAAAGGATATGAAGCACAGCTTCTGTGCACACTCACATAAAATGATCCCCCTGAGTGCCTCAAATCTGAGAAGTTGTCAGACGATGATCATAAAATGAGGGTTAAAAATATGCAGGGATTATAAAAATATAGCAGTAAAATGCAACATATTGCGTTAAATGTGACGAGTTTAATGCTGCAGAAAATCTTTGATCTTGGGATTTAGCGTGCAGAGCCGTAAAACAAACATTTTAAGTTGAGTTAATTATCTTAAAGCTGAGCGTGCTCTCAGTGCTGCTTTTTTAAAAGGTGATGGCTTCACTTAAATATTCCTTTATTTAAACATTAAATGTTGCCACAGCCTAATAAACGAGGCCTGATCAAAGTCAGCGGATCAAAGTGAGATTCATTTCATTGGTTGTACAGATGCTGGTGTGTGCTCTCTGTTCTAGTAGCTGTAATTCCATCCGAGTAAAACCTACGTTGTTTTCTTTCCTCCTGCCTCAGACCAAGATGACCCCATCACCATCCACCAGTGAGACTGGCATCCAGGACGGCGGGGATTCTCCAACCGCTGAGGCTTCACTCAATCAGCCAGACAACTCGCCCTCCCAGGAGGAGCCGATGCACTGAGAGGGCCTAACCACTCTTGAGCTCTCTCTGTCGACCCTCTAACCCCCCGGGCCATCTACACTCTCCCCCTAAACGCTGCGTGCCAGTTTCCCTTTATTGGAAACCAGTGACTCCCTCCCCCCCACACTCCCAGCCTTCCTTGTGATCTAATTGTCGGATCTTTTCTCATGACACGTGCTCTCACTTGTTAACCACCGCGGAAAGTGAAAGCATGGGATGGGCGCAGGCATGTGGTCTTTTGCTGTGTATCTTCGAGTCTCTTCAGGCTCACTGTGGGAGAAATCCTCCCTGCTGTGCCACTTTTCCTCTTCCCCTTCATCTTCTCCCTCTCGCACTCCTCATGCCTCTGCCTAACCTGCCAAACATGCTCCAATTTATCAACACTGCGTTCAAAGAACAAATGTAAAAATGTATGCCTTTCAGTGTCATCGGGGTGTGACACCTGGTGCGAGTACTGTGGGTTAAATTAGTCAGTTTTTCCCAAGTGCAAACACCGACTCGAAAATAGGAATTTCAGAGCACAGGATGGGGGTGAAACACACACACAAAAAATTCCCCCCTTTCTTTGCCTTTGTGATGATGTTGTCAGAGAACGATCTCCACGCTCAGATAGTTACAGGAAAACTGCCAAGATCAGCGGAACAGAGATAGAGCAAACACAGCGTCAAGGTTCAGCCTTGACCCGAGGTGAAAGAGGGAAAAAAAGAGCCAGAGTCAATATTTAAACACTTCATTGTTCCTGCGTGGGAGGTAACACCTAAACCTCCCCACACTGTGCGTGATAAAAGGCCTAGCAAGAGGATACTTCACTGATATGAAATAATATTGTAACAGAGAAGGTTTCCCTCCCTATTTTGAATATGCGCACTAAGCTTAACAGGCTTTTTCCTGCTTTTTGGGGGGAAGTTGCATAAATAATTGAAATTCTGGTGGTAGAGTTTTGGCATACTGCACAGGTACATACAGTATTGGGTAAAACAAATAAATGCTGCTTTCAGAGATCAATCACCATTTCTGAGTGTTGAAGGTAACTTAGTGGTGCATCTTCAGTGACCACTGTTTTCAGCTCACTATTGATCCTGCACATCCTAGAAACTATTGAACTGCTGAACAATGAATGAATCGAGTTGCGTGCTACCCACGGGTGACGATGGAGGCTCAATGAACCTCGAAGGGCGAACAGAGCCAGGGTGGAGTCAGCCAGGGCTTCCTCTGAGACGTGAGCGTAACTAAACTACTGATTTGTAACCCTTCCCCTCTTCTGGATGCACGACCAACCTTGTGCAAGTCTTCTCCTGCTGGTGGTCCAATCGTGCGTGTGATTCAGCTCGCCCTTCGCCGTTAACGTCGCCATGCAGACCAAGGGTCGGGAACACTGCTATCCAGCCATGAGCAAATTTGTTGCAGCCTTTTATCTGAGGCGCTTTTATTTGGAGTCGTTTACTCAACACACACACAAACACATTTGTTCATGAATGGAACCATGGAGACAAGAAATGCACTCTAATTAAAAGACTTTTGAAGTAACCTGACTCAGTGCTCATTGACTTTATGTGGGAGGAGTGGGGAGTCACTCAGGCAACATTGCTTACCCTACTGTGTTTATTCATTAGTTTCTATGACGTCATTTTACATTAAATACACAAATATTATAGAGGTGCAATACCTCAACTGAACACAAGAGGGCAGCCAAGATCAGAAGCTCTGCTTGTGGTGCTTTTACGTCTCAGTCCGGCCCAGACAGCCTGGAGCCTGCTGCTGAACTGACTCACAGTCATTACTGTTGCCTGACACAGTGAGGGGAGATGTAGGAGAAGTGAGGAAGTCAGAGGAGAGGATAGTTTGTAACCGGCTTCTAAATATATATAAACAGCAGTTTCAGTGATACTGGAGTTGTAAAAAGTTGAAAATACTGATCTGATCAGCGTTTAAATCAGACCTGAAGTCTGGGCTACAGCAGCGGTAAAATGAGAAGTATAAATTTAGAGTTGACTGCAATAATATGACTAACAAAGCAGTTGGTATTCGTATTTGATTGTTATTCCTACCACAGTACTGTGCAAAAGTCTCGAGTCACCCCTCATTTCTTTATATTTTGCTTCCAAGGAGCCAGACTTTCTTGTAAAGTGGTCTCGAGCAATAGTTCTCCAGGCTTTCAAAGGTTTTCTTTACACGTTGGCTGTTTTTTGTTTGTTTTTTTTCACTCATTTTCAATCCAGTCCTCATGCCTGACCGTTTTCAGAGAAATATTTGTTTAAGCTACGTAAAACTGACCCAAGTCCACATAAAATATGGATGAAGCAATATTCAGTGTACAGACAACTTTGTAAAGAAGTTTAAATTGTATCTTTACACATTTTGTCACCAGCAGCTGGCTACAAAGACTTATTTGCTCCAATTTCTTTAGTGGAGTCATAGTTTCACTGCCATAAAACAGTATTTTTGAGCCATTAACTGAGAACTTATGTATCTCAGCACAGTGTGCACATTGTCCCCTAAAAAATTTGAGGAAACTGGACAAGTGGAGGACAAAAGAAGTATTGGTAGGCCTGATCTGCCTACAGCAGCTGAACAGTATCTGAAAGTCATGTCCTTAAGAAATGGGGAAGTGAAGGGAATCTTCTTCTGATCCACTATGTAATACTGGCATCAGGTCAGCAAAATCTTCATTTGTCAGCATGAGAATGATCCCAAACTCATGGCCAATACAGTAATAGCATAATTAGACAGAAAACCACATAATGACCATATCTGTCATGGACTGGTCTCCCCAGAGCTCGGGTCTCTACATTACCGAAGCAGTGTGGGATCAGACAACAGAACAAAAGGGAGCCAACATCTGAAGGTGCTTCAAGAAGCCTGGAAAACTATTCTTGAAGACTACTTAAAGAAATCACAAGAAACTCTTTTATCCAAGCAGTGTTGAAGAATAAAGGATGTCATACCAAATATTGAGCTTGTTAGAAATGTACTAACTCTAAAATTGATCTGTAGAATTGACCTACATTATTTCCAATAAACAATCTTAAGGAACGCTTTGTGTTATCAGAAAGCGTGTGGTTAAACTGCACTCACACAGAAGCGCCACATTCAGGAGAAACGACACACCGACAGCAGCTAACAAACAGCTGCCAAAAAATCTTTATTCAGTTATAACCAGACGCCTGCAGAAACTTGAAGTCACACAGATCGCTCTGGAGAAGGTCTAAACTCTACACCGAGTCAAACAACAACAGCACCAGAACGCACTTTGTCAGTAAACACAATTTTACAACAAGAACGATGGCGTTTTCTACACACACAGAGATCAGATAAGAAAAACAAAATGGTACAGGAGATTTAACAGTCAGTGTGCACCGATTCTTCTCAACCGGAGAAAAATCATATATATATATGTATGTATATATATATATGTGTATGTATATATATCTCGATAGAAGTCGTTTGATAATATCGTGGAAAAGAATGCCATTATAATAATAACATCACTGGTGCAATAGAGTACACATTTTGTGATAGATCTTTACTGCAAGTGCTTTGTGTCATGTGTTGTGTTCACAAAGGATCCCGTGTAGACTCAGTGTGTGACACTGACAGCTGTTGTTGTCGTGCGAGTTATGAAGAAGCAGGCCGGTTTAAATGTGCAGAAAGAGAACATTCAGTCGAAACATGGCTTAGTGTGTGTAAGGTCCAGCAGGCAGAAGAAAAAAAACAAACCTCCGGGAATCCCAAATGACAATTTGGACCGTTTTGGATTTTTCTTGTTTAGAGTTGAACGAGAAGATCGATACGCTGCTATGAAGGGAGGCATTAATGACACGTCCCACAGGGGACCCTGTAGTATATGTCATTATGTGGGCTCCATGATCCCGTTTCCCACCTGTGTGTAGCACAAAATGGGACTTACTATGCCGTGGGGTTTTGTGGGAGCTAGTCAAAGAAATGTGTGTCCAGCACTGGTTAAAGTTTTCAACTGAAAGAAAATAAAAAACAAACAAAAAAAACAACAACTCTTAGTTAAATAGTTTAGAGCAGGGATGTCAAACTCATTTTCCATCGTGGGCCACATACAGCGGAACATCTTTCTGTCAGTGTGAAGAAGTTTAACCACACATTTAAAGAGCAAATCAGTTTTTCCACACGATAAAGTTTTTCTACTGTAGTAAGTGAAATGAAATCTGTCAGTGTGACTCTTTGGGCTCAAGCTGTAAGAAATTATAACTAAATCATAAAGTGGGCAGCTCATCGCTCACAGTATGATAGTATGGGGAAGGAAAAAGCTGTAAAACGTATGAAAACAGTTAAAAGTCAATTTTTTTTTGCCATTTTTCTTTCTTTTTCAGAGCCGTCCAGATTGGGGGTTTTCCCGGCCAATTCTAGCCCCCATGCCTCATGTTTGACACCCCTGGTTTAGAGGATGTGGGTAGGTCAGTCTTGCAGACACCAAAGCCAGCTTGTCTGTAAGTCGACTTGTTGCGGCACGTTGTTCTATAATTTTATAATAAACAAGCAGCTGGTATCGATCTTCTCTTCAAACTTCACGATAATGTAAATAAGCATATTCCTACCCTGCAAAGAGAGAAGGGGGGGGGGGGATCAGACACGTGATCGGCCCCACGGACATCTGAGACCTTTTGTTGTGGCGCCAACATGCAGAACCGATTCCACCTTCAACCAGAAGAAAACCAGAGCCTGCGGTTGCACAAATCTCTGTCTCGGGTAAAACTGACCCATGTGTGTCTCCCCCCCCCCCAGCACCCTCACAGTAAAAGGCAAGCTACCGATTCCACGGACAGCAGCGATTCTTATCATCTAAGGTCACACATGGGGAGCCCTGCGTGCGTGCCCCGTTTCACATCGTCCTCGTCAATTATTCAAAGACTCGGACGCACGCGTACGCACAAACAGCAGCAGCTCCCCCCGCCCCCTCCCTCACGCGCTCCACCGATAACACCTAACATCGTCTGCGCTCTTGACTCAGAGAGGCCTCCGCGTCCTGTAAACGCGGAGTTACAGCTCATACTGGTTGCCTGATGGAAGGTGATGCTCCGCAGATGCCAGTGTGTGTGGTAATGAATCACGCAGGCGGCCGTTGGGCTGGTGTGAGCAGAAGTGTGTGTAGGGCGGTGAAAATTCATGAGGTACGACAGCTTGAACACTGAAATGTGCATTTATGGTTGCAGGAATGGCTTGACCAGGCTTTGTAGGGAGTAGAGGTGTACAAACACACACACACGCACACAAAATAAGCTTTTGTGGTCACTTGCACAACACAAACACAACAGGAGGAGGTATAAATGCTACATTGAGCAGATGGGACATACCTCGGGCGGTCGTTGGAAACACAGTCCATCATCTCTCTCTCTCTCACACACACACACACACGCCGATAACTCCTTAGCGGATCTGTGTTTTTGGACCAGCGGCCCGGTGAGACAGGAGCAAGCTCTTCGCATCGTCACATGATGAGATCTGAAGCCACGGGGACATACGCTGAGCAGCAGGGCCACATATCGCACCCATGATCTCACTCAGTGGGCTTTCACACCTCTTTCACTCATATTGTGTTTGCTTGCTTGCGTGTGTGGAGATGAGAGAGGTCTGTGTTGTGTTACATCACTGTTTAATGCGTGCAGTGACAGAGGCCCAAAGAAATAAAGGCGACAAATGTGTTGTCGCTGATGTACGGTTGCATATTATCCTAACTGCTTGATACATGATGCCGACTGATATAAATGATGCGGTTGCTTGAGCGATGGATGAAAACGAGAGAGCATCGCCAGTTTGGAAACGGTTCGTACCGCCCCAAAATGGTCTGAGCTAAATCCCTACATCGGCCGCGTACCGCCCACCCCCGTCTTTAGACTTTTCCTCCCCCCCCCGGCGCGAGACGCCGGCTTCGTGAGAACATAACGCTGCTACTCCTGATGGCACAGGAGGAAGGAGGCCTGTGTGACTGATACTGGAGCTCATCATGAGGTTTTAAGCGGCTTCCTAGGACTTATTTTCAGCACATATAGAAGGAGGAAGAGACTTTGGGAGACTAGTGTTTCTCTCAGAGCTGACGTGTTTGAGATGTCAGAGGGGGTGTTACAGGCTCATGTATGTTGACTGGAGGAGATACCAGAGGAAATCCTTTTGTCTGGTCTAAGGTGGCACTTGCAAAGATTAACTGATTTCCATCTGAAAACTATCTTAATCAGTCATCACAGCCTGCATCCAAATGCCAAAGGAATAGCTCATCAAGAAAGTCTTTGTTTGTTTTCTTGATGAGAGTCGAGAAAACCTCTGAAGCTTGTGGAGAAGTTAGCCTGTCAGCTTAGCTTAACCTCCAGACTGGGAAACACAGAAGGAGCTCGGTACACTCTGCCACAGCAGCGCTCTGACGGCTCAGTCACACTAGAGCAAACACAGGACACGGCAACCTCCATGTAAATAGGTTTGAAAAAACCTTTAACGAATTTGGAAAACTTTTTCCAAATTCATCGGATGATTGCAAGAAGGTGAGGTAACCAATATCACTTTTGATCGC